CGAATGTTCAAAACATTTCCATAAACTTCTTTGATATTCTTTGTGGCTACAGAGGCATTGTTTAGCTTCTTGTATTCAAACAGCATTACATGCCAAATGTGTGTCTTGTTGTGTGCCATCACTATAAGGGATTAGAGTATACTAAACTTTACACATTATATGGGCTACACTAACATGACGTTTAGGTGGTTCGTTTAACTATTATACATGATGTACCTTTTTTGGGGGGTGTTCTAAAATGTGACATTAATATCTTGATGACCTAATAATTTAATGTTTATATGACACACATGTACCATAGCGATTATTAACTTATTGTTGCAACTGAATAGATGTTGCAAATCATTTGTTTATATATAGGATTTCTACACTTACAGTCATGACAGGATCAGTTTTTGTTATCACTGCATGATCAATTTCAGCTGCATTACACAAATGTCTAAAACATTCCCAAAACATCTAGGCTGTCTCCTACAACAGAAATCTTTAAGCTCATTTAACCCTTTTACTTTGGTAATGATTTGCTCATGCATTTCTTATTTTCAAATGTTGATTATCCAACATGTAGAGTAATTTTGATTTTAAATACCAAACTCCCCTCCTTTTGGTCCTTGTTACTTTGCCCAGCTGTTCTGGTTGTAGATGCCCTCAGCCATGACTGGTCTCATCTATTTCTGTAAGTCTATCATTTTCTTTTCCCACATGTCTTGGTGTTGATTAGGAATACTCCTTGTCAGATCCTGTTGGTGGCATCTTTTTAGCTGGCTAAGTATTCTTGGTTTTCTCTTTTTCACTGACTTTCATCCAGGGCACCTCTTTGTTTGACTTCACCCGGGAGTGTTGTTTCTTCCTCTTCGTGTATAGAATTTGTCCAGTCCCTTACTAGTCAAGTTTATTTGCCTGAGTAGTTCTTTTATTGCATTTGTGTCACCTTTCTATGTCTCTGTCTATCAACAAAAGCAGCATTTTGTTTGCCTCTGGCCCATCTACTGCTCTCTGTCACCAGGCCATTCTACTTTTGCCCACCTTTCAGCCTTCTTTCCCTGGTTTTTATACCAAGGTTTTCTGTTTTCTACACTGCAAGCTATTGGGTGACCTTATTGACTACCTCCTGCCTTTTTTTGCTATGGTTCTGTCTTCCTTCTCCTGTTCTTTTCACTTTGTTCCAGTCCTTCCTAATTGATCATCTCCCCTCATCCAGTTTGTTTGCCTGAGTAGAACCTTGATGAAGTTCTACATGCTCTTATTGAAGTCCTGTTTGAACCCTTGGCCACTTGCTCCTTATATACCATCTCTCTCTTAAAACATATTTGTCTCCTTCTGGCTTGTGGTTGTTGCATATCTGATCTTTATGCATTCATTGCCACTGATACTTTATTTCACAGGTCTTCTATTATTTTATTCCCTGACTGCTCATTTCATTCTAAGACTTGGACAGCTTGGAAAGGAAATCATTCCTTAGTTTGTCTCCCTCAGGATATAGCTTCCATACAGTCTACTCATAATCTTTAAGGAGTGCCTCTTTTATACCCTGCATGAGGTGAATGTGACCTCTTACGAATGTTACCCATCTAGTAAGCTCTCACTATAGGGTGTCACACTGTGTTTTCCCCTTCAGTTGCCTTCTCTGAATGGAGCTCATTTAGGTTTTTTCCTACTCACACTGGCCCCTCTGCCACATCTGTGTGGGATTCTGTGCAGAGGCAAGTATATCATTTTGGAAGTCAACATTTTATTTACCTGAAAATGTATTTCTTATAGATACCTCTGCACACCTTTCCTCTTCACTACTGGTGCACGTTATTCTTGCCTTGTTAATTTTGAGTGCAAGTGCTTATGTGGATTTACTATTCATAGAGGATGTGTTGTCCTCCTATTGGTGGAAGGTTATTTTTGCATGATTATTACATCATGCACTAGAACAGTTTACATTTTAGAACACATCTTAGGTCAGAGATACTTTAAGGCTAGTGGAATGCACTGAATATCAAAGGCCAGGCATGCAAGGAATAGGTAATATTTGCAGAAAAGTATTTATTGGAAATAAACCTTCAGATAAGGAAAATTTTAAATTAATTTATATATTACATTTTTAGTTTTTGATGTAATTATGAAACAAAAATGGCTATATAAGTTGTAAAAATATTATTTGTAAAATTTGAATTGTAAAAATAAAAAGAGCAATAACTGACAATATTATGTTGAGCTAAAATTAGTTTTATTGTGATCTACCATATTAAGAATAAAGTGACAAATTTTGGTATAAGCTCATACAAGTCTGTGGTAAAATAGAAAGTACTGGGTAAACACAATACAAGTATTAATATTAATTGGCCCAAAATTATTAAGCATTGTAGTTGATTTGTTTATCATAACTGCTTAGTAAACTTCAAATATGTTTTTACTGATTTCACCAAGATGTTTTCTAATTAAATACAGAACAGATTACTATGAGTACTTAATTTCATATATACTAACAATTTCCTGTTGATTAGTTTCTTGACAGTACTGAGACCTACATGCAATATCAATTTATTTTATTTACTTTATTTAGTTCTGTTACAACAAACTTTATGTAGCAAAAGCTTTCAAAATTAAACTATGTAGTAAATCAAACTAAACTAGACGGCTGGATATCAACAGAAGATTTCTTAGAATAAACACTTAACCCAATTTTCAACAGTATTATTAGAACAGGATATTTCCAAATATATCTTCTGTAGATGCTCAGGAAATGAAAATACAGTGGGCAAAGCATTATCTCTCAGACAAATATTGAGACTTGTTCTATCATAACTTTCTTCCCCCAAATGTTTAGAGCACAACCTGGAGACTTGTGTTTGATATGACTTCTCTTTAAATATTTAGTTTTTTTGTTTGTTTTTTTCAGTAATTTGGGTTGTCTGTATGAAAAGCTGTATGAAAATTTCTAAATGCTAAAATCAATTGAGTTGACAAATATCATAATAATAAAACTAAAAGAAAACTCTTGAGTTTAAAAATGGATGTTGTATATGCTCAAAAGTAAAGGTTTGCCTCAGTTAAGTAATATTACTGCCATTAGGCCCTAAGTTAACATATCTAACAATTTAATATGATGGCAGTGTCAAATCAGTTCTTATCAACTTATTTACGGGGAAAAAGGACAAATAAAATGTGAACATAATAATGAAATGACACGACCAATTCTTGGTCTGTTATAATTCCATGCAACATTTTTACATCAGATACAGGCTTCAACTTAACTATGTCTTAGCAACTGAAACTACAACAAGGGACCAACAAGATGGCCACTTTATAACTGTCCAGTTCAGTATTGAGATCAGTAAGCAAGTTCTGTTGGCATGCAAGACAAATCAGTCCTTGACCATCCAGCATTAAGTAATTCAGTTTTATTGAAAAGTATAGTAACGCAAAATAGCAGTGAACAGCTTACACATAAAAATTAAATAACCTGGTAAAGAAGTTTAGCCTTTTTTTTTTCTAACAGTAAAGCATGCTCTAAGTCAACCAGTTGTGCTCATTTTGGTGCTATTTTTATGTTTTGCTGCCTGACTATAATGCAGAAATTAAGTTCTTCACATAAAAAAAACTTTTATAATGTTTGCTGAAGAACTTTAGGGAGATAATGTTTTAAAATATCATGAATGAAATAATGCAGCTGTGTGCTGCTGATGCCTTGGTGGGTACATTTCCAACATGTATGTGCATGTCCTTTGATATCATTTGAGGCATCAAGGATGAGATGACTGTTTACCATACATCTCAAAGCCCTCTTTTTTTTTAACCTGTTTGATGTTTCTTCTAATTGTAATGAAATGACAAAAATCTTCCACTATAGATACAGGGCAGTATATTGCAATCTGACCCTGGCTAATTTTCATTTTGCCACTTCTGACCACATCTGAGAATGTAACAGTTCTACAGACAAACTGCCTGATTCTTTTTTACATACATTAATTAAAGGATGATGAGGGCAAGGAGGTACTCTGCCGTGAAGCATGTATTTTTTTAGTGTCCTTATTTGGTCTGCCTTTATACAAGGCTAGTCCACTTTACTTGTTTTCCCATGAATCTAATCCGCTTCTTGGATTCCTGTCATCTCTACTTAATCATTTGTTCAGTTGTTGTAGTACAAGCTGTTATTTTCTTGCCTAAGAGCTCAAATTTTGGTGTACAGGTGATCCTTATGACTCTGATTCCTACTTCTATTGCAATGTGGGTATTCTGGTTTTTCATATTTCAACAGTAAGTCTGCCAATTTTGACTTTTAGGTTGTTAGAATTAAAATAAACTTCAAATGAGTACTTACATCTCATAACATTCCCATCTACCTCCCCACAAATGGGGGGGGGGGGGGATGTGGTTTTCACCATGACTACAACTGCAAAATTTGGATAATGGTGGGAAAGGAGAACTTGTATACATGACCCTCTGACACAAGTACAATAAGTCATGTGGAAGGTGTGAGAGTGGAGAATTATGGTTTAGTTGATACATGCTCTGCATTGTGTCAAGGACGCTCGGAATTTTAATCACGTGTGTTGATAGCATGAAAGCAACTCAACAAAGTAAGGTTGTTTATGTTGAAGATTAGTACCTGTTTGAAATTCATTTTAACTCTAAAAATATAAAATTTAATGAAATATACCTGAAAGATAAAAAAATATATTTTTCTAAGAAAACCAGGGAACGTATTTTTTTTATCAGGTGTGAGGATTTTTATCTAAGGCAAAATTTAAAAATATAAAATAATCTTGCATGTTACACATAAGAAGTAGCAGAAATTTGAGATTTAGAACTTTATTTGACTAATAAAGTTGAATCGATCATGTAATTATGTAAGTGTTCATAATTGTATAGTTCACACTATGCATTGATAAGTGATCTAGATATACGAGTATGATATCAAGCATGTTTTAATTGCGAAAAACACATCTCATGATATTATAAGTTGAAATATAAAATACTTGTTTTGGTATTAATCAGTTTGATATTAAGGTTTGTTGTTTTTCATCAAAATTAATAAATATTTTGCAGGATGGAATGAGCTTCATCATAATTGACCAGGCACAGTTTGCTAAGGATCTCTTACCAAAGTATTTTAAACACAACAATATGGCAAGCTTTGTTCGGCAGCTGAACATGTGTAAGTAGACATAAAAGCTTATCTGTAAGGCCATAGATAGATTAAAATTCATTTGTATGATGATGCTAGTTTGTCAACACACATTTCTACATGCAGATACTACTTCTTTATACATATAAATGTATTATTTTAATGTTGAAGAGCATTTAATTATAAACTAGCATAGACCCGCAAAACATTTGTGGTCTGATTAGTATCTTATTGCAACATTACTTCTTTAAATACAAAATTTCTAGAATAATACAAAAGAACTCTAATTGCAGACACTGAAATCTAAAAGTCCTTATCTTAGGCCTAACATTAATTAAGTCTTTGTTATTTGTGACCTATATTGAGTAAAGAGATAAATTAACACTGTAACTTGTGTACGTTTTTTGCTTTAGTTTAGTTAGGGCTAAACTTTACCATATGTTATATTATCAGTAAATAAATTTATAATGTTATTCTACAATCTAACATTAGACCTTTTTAAACTAAGCTTTTAATATGTTGTTGTAGAAAATATGTACTAAAGTATACTTACATGCATTTAGATAGTAAAGTGTGTGTGTGTATTTTCATAATAGGTAAAAATTGAATATAATAATAATAGATACTACAGTCCATAAAAAATATAATTAGTTCCAAAGAAAACTATTCTGAACATTTCTTGTTTTGTTTATTAGAAAAGTTATCTACCAAGATTTTCTTTGGTTTGTTAAATTATGAAATACATGGAAAAGATGAAGTTGTGAAGAAAATGGTTTTAATGCTAATAGTGAAATGAGCCACTGCTAACTATAATGTGGTCTCTAATTATGCTATACACAAGTGTTCAAGGGATGAGATTAAATAATACTTTTTTCATATTATGCAGATGGATTTAGAAAGAGAACAAGTCTGAAGCATGGTAGCCTACGAGCAGAAAAAGATGAGCTAGAATTTTATCACAGATTTTTTCTCAGGGAACAGGAAGATTTGCTTGAAAAAATAAAAAGAAAGGTGTAACTTTAACCTTGTTCCTTAAATTTTATTTAAGCTCTTTAGTTTTATTATTTAAGTTTCAGTGTAATATATATAGTTTGTAATAAGTTGAACAAAATCTCAAAATCTATCTCTCTTAGTATGAGAATTGTGACATTTATTATCTAGGTCTTCCCTCTGCTCTAATTTATTTACCACCTCCCTGAGAAGTACAGAATTTAATGTAAATTACTCACTATATTATATTGATATTACTAAGGCAAAGCATAATTACAGCCTTCAATCTTGTTTGTTTATGGAACCATAAACTAGAAAATTAGGCCCACTTGCCATTTCCACCTTTCACATTCTCTCTCTCTCTCTCTCTCTCACAAATTGCTAATAGTTATCTGTGATGTTTTATAGTATATTATTTATAACCAATAGAAAGCCAAAATGTTAATCTATCAAATAATGTATTATATTGTTTTCTGTACAAAGTATTGTCTATTTCACCTCCAATTGGAAAATTTCGCTTGCAGTATTAACATTGACATGGGTCAAAGGGCAATAAAAAAATAAGATTTAAGTATAAACAGATTTATACTGTTACAAGCTTTAAGCTTTAGTTTCCTGTAAAGAATTTGCTATCATTCTAGAAAGGCAAAAGGGTAATTTAGATTTACTTCTTATTTGTTTACTGTGGTTTTAAGGTTGGTCAGATTTTCTGAATGTGTAGATTTAGGATAGTGAAATAACAGATAAAAATATAAAGTTTTACTGAAAAAAATGTTTGATATTCATTTAGGAGGTTTTAGAGATTATGTCAGTGAAATTTGACTATTTTCAGGTGACAAAAAATTTTTAAGTCTTAATATGAAAATCATTTTGCACTCGGAGCAATAAACATTCTGACAAATTTTTAGTAAAAATAATTAAGCAGTCTGATTTTTTTATTTCTTTTAAACATTTGTAGTAATATTTACTAAAAGTTTTCCAAATTTTTTGAAGATACACAAAACATATTAAAACTTATAGTATGCAAACTGATGGTTACTTTGAGACCATGAGGACGTTGTAATCCATCAAGTCCATAGTGAAAGGGTTAAAAGAAGAGTAGTTTGAAAATGTCTTAAAAATAAAAGCTGGAAGTAGGAAAATTAGTCTAGTGATTTGACATCACACGTTTGTACAGTTTCATCCAGCCTTTACAATAAAATGTAAACACATTAGTTAATCATTTTAACATGTTATTTCTAAACTTCTGTCGTTCTCAGCAACTTCTTGCATAAAAGCTTATGATGTTTTCATACTTAAAAGTTGTTAATAATTTTTAAAGCTTTTCATACTGATGATGGAATTAGAAAAAAATATGTAAATAAATATTTCTTTTATATTACCAAAATTTTCATATTTCTTATAATACTTTGATTTTCACCTTATGAATTATTTAACCTATACAAAGAGGTAATCTAGTTTCATGTCAAATGGGAAATATTGTGCTATTTTTTGTTTTTTATGGTCAGAATGAATGTTTTCACTTGAATTATTTATTGTCTATACTGTGACAAGAATGTGGACTAGTTTTTTTCACACAGCATCCAAGGATAGTTATTTTTAACTGAGATTTAGTTTTAATTGAGTAGTCTTGTGAAAATTTGTGGTAACTTTTCTTTTACAACAGTTTAAGATTAAAACAAGTGAGAAAATTCTAAATTGTTGCACCTCAACATATCTGTCATGTCAAATTAGAAGTTCTAAAACGTATTTAAAAATAAAAGCTGAAACTGGGAAGATTAGTAGTTAGTCTGAAATGAAAATAATCGATTAGTTCAATGTAATTCATTAACATTCCACTAGGGCCCGGCATGGCCAGGTGGTTAGGGCATTCGACTCGCAATCTGCGGGTCACAGGTTTGAATCCCCGTCCCACCAAACATGCTCACCCTTTCAGCTGTGGGGGCATTATAAAGTAATGGTCAATCCCACTATTCGTTGGCAAAAGAGTAGCACAAAAGTTGGCAGTGGGGGGCGATGACTAGCTGCCATCCTTCTAGTCTTACACTGCTAAATTAGGGATGGCTAGTTCAGATAGCCCTCATGTAGCTTTGCGCGAAATTCAAAACAAACATTCACATTCCACTAATTTCCCAGCTTAACAAAGTAGTCATTAAGTTTGCTATAGAAATTAACTTGTAAATATTGCAAATTAATCATACAGGAAACTATTTTAAACTTAGTACACAAATAATGTATAAGTTCCCTTAATACTTTTATTTAGTGTGGCCACTTTTGACATCGTTGTGTCTTTGTATTTTCTCAAAGTAGCTGGTGTAGTTTGATTCCAGTTTTCTTCATTATCGGCCCAAATCTCTCTCTGTACATTTGGTTCTTTTGTCAATCATGGTGTTTTTAGATATCTAAAATGTCTTTCAGCAAGGTATTCTGTCAAAAAGGCATTAATTTTCTGTTTCGGCATTTTAATTGCAGCCCCACATTATACGAGCTGTACTGGATGATTTATCTATGAAAATCTAAATATTCCTTTCATGTACTTGCATGAAAAACTAAAAATGTGAAAATCTAAAGTTTTTTTCAGTGATTAATTCTACAGAAACTAAGGCAATCACATGTAACAGCATTATGCCACTTTACATTTAGATTAGACATCTTTTAAAAAATTTTCTTCACTTAATCATTTGTGGCTATATGCTGCTTTTCTCTTAAACTTTTAAATGGGTAGCATTTTAAAGTCATTGATAAAGTAAGGAGATAAATAATTTGTCTATTTTAATGCTTTTTTACATGATTTTAATCTACAAAAGTTTTATTTAATATAAACGACAAATCAAAACTATTGGAGCTATGGGGAGTTCCAATACATTTGCACACTATATATGGTTATCTACAAAAAGACCACTTGGCGAATGTATCATCATTTCCTATTGTCACTAACTAGATTTCTAGAACCTGATGAAAGTTCCTAAACATGTAGATAATAGTTGCATATGAAGTTGAAAAAATGATTTAAAGTGTAGCTTATGTTACGGAGTTTGTCTTTGATATATGTTTTCAACATTATTATGTATTGTAAATGTTGTACTACCTTATAACTTTGAATTTACTTGTTTAAATAGTGAAAATACTTATGTTTTTTCTCATAATTTTAAACATTTTACATATTAAACAAAATCATCTAATTATACAGCTAATTAGCCATTATACCAATATCTCCATGAAGTTTTGTAGAAATTAAATGAATTTTTAGTTTTTGTTTATCTGAATAAAGATTATTTATTCTGTTAGACAACAACATCTAAAGCTTTTGACAGTACTCAAGAAATGACTAAGATTCTACAAGAAGTTTTGTTTGATGTGAAAAATATCCATGGGAAACAAGATAACATGAATTCACTGCTCTCAAAAATGAAGAAGGAAAATGAGTTCTTATGGAAAGAAGTGGCTGTTCTGAGAGAAAAACACCTAAGGCAACAACAAATTGTAGATAAGGCAAGTGTGAAATACTTAGATATTGGTGCAAGGTAACACTTCAATTCCTTAATTGCTAAACACAAAAATACTGAAAAAATTTACACGTGCCAAATGACACGTGAGATAATTTTAATATGTATAACCTAAGAAGCAGGAACATATCAACTACCCTTAGCTACAGGTCATTTACTGTTTCCTGCTAGTTGTCTGTGGGATTTTACAGGGACAAAATTACAAGGTTATGAAAATTATGTGAGATTATCCCCTCAAGTTACCTCCAGAATAAAATTATAACTGAAATTTTTAATTTGTATTATGCAAGTTTTATTAACATTTATTTTGTATTAAGTAATTTAAAAAGTCAAATGATAGGCCTAATTTTTAATTTTTTACCACTGTTATGATTATTATATAAATGGTAGAAATTGTTAAATTTCTTTTATCTTGTAAGCTAGTAATTGTTTTTTATTATTTGCAAACTACAGAAAGATAAATTAATTTATTGGGTTTCTCTCTCTCTCTATACTGGCATCTCCCATTTAGTAAGCTTTTTATTAGGTTGTTTTTATTTTAAAGTGGTTGTCATATTAGGGAATTTTTTTGATTAGCATGATCAGTTTCGATTGCAATTTTCAATTTAGTGCATTTTTGAAATAGAAGATGGAACTCCAGTGTAGCTGCATATGCGTGAGATGTGTCATATGCTGTTTATCTCGTGGTAGCATTGTTTTGTGTAATGGTATGCTCTTATTTTCAGGTTTATTTAATGTTGTATATACTACATTGATGTGTGAGTATCTAATTAATACTGTTTAAAAGTTTCTGTGTCCAGACAATTTTAGGTCAGGAATGTATCCTCCCGTTATTACATGTAGTCCTATGGGAAATTGATTTTCATTTAGCATGGCATTTTTCTGGAATGCTTTAACCTTGCTAAATGGGGGATGCTGGTATTTGTTTATTATACTGGAATAATTGCCTTGGAAGTTAATCTTTTCCTTACAAGAACTCAAGAGTTAAGTAACTGAAGATTATAATCAGTGGTAGTATCACATTTTGCCCTTGGGACGAAAATAGAGACAAAACTTCTTTTTTTTTTGAACATGCACATATAAATTACTAAAAAGAAGACATGGATAAGTTTTAGTATAAAATAGAAGGGGGTAAATATGTTTGTTACTTTTAATACTTTAGATGATTTTTTATTGCACCATTACTATCAACAAAGTGGCAAAGCACATGATGTCATTAGACGAAATATTGTATATGTATGAAAACTGGTTTTCAGATTACTGGTTACCTGGTTCGTGGGTAACTGTATGGTAAATAGCTATGTTAAGTACTAGCTTGTATTTAATTATAATTGTCCAAGAAATCTTAACCCTTTCACTGCACAATTATATTTCGGAGGTGTTCCTCAAAAGCTGTCAATTCCCCATCAAAAAATAAGTCTTAATTTGACCTCTTTTATTACTGTTCCAACTTGAAATTACTATAAAGTTTTCATATTTGGCACTAAAATTTCTGGAAAACAATAATTAAATGATGAAAATGTAAAAAAATTGTTGAAAAACGTTCTACAATATATGAAC